CCCCGTGCGGGCAGGCCCGGCAGCAGCCAGCCCCGGCCCCGACACCCGGCACGCGTGCCCCCATCACACCCTCCGTGTGTGCGTGTGTGTGTCTATATATCCCTGTATCTGTGCCTGTGTGCACATCTATCTCTGTGTGCGTATGCATGTATCTGGTGGTATATGTGTGTGTATCTATATATCTGCGTGTGTATCGTTATGTCTGAGGTGTGTGTGTATGGAAATGTAGCTGTATATCTCCGTGTGTATGTCTATAGATCTGGTGTGTGTGTATCTATATATCTGGGGGGGTATATGTAAACGTGTCTATATAGCTGGTGTGTGTGTGTATATCTATCTATATGTCTGTGTATATCTATATATCGGGCGTGTCTCTCTCTCTCTGTATCTATATATCTGGGGTGTGTATATATGTATCTATATATCGGTGTGCATGTATCTGTATATCTGGTGTGTGTATGTATATGTACCTATGTATCTCTGGGTATGTATCTATATGTGGTGTGTGTATGTACCTATATATCTGGTGTGTGTGTATGTACATCTCTCTCTCTCTCTCTCTCTGTGTGTATCTATATTTGGGGGGGTGTGTATCTATATTTGGTGTGTGTATGTATCTGTATATCTGGTGTGTGTGTATGTATATATCTATATATCTCTGTGTGCGTGTATCTGTATTGGGGGTGTATCTATATATCTGGTGTGTACATGTATATATCTATATCTCTCTCTGTGTGTATCTATATTTGGTGTATGTATCTATATATCTGGTGTGTGTGTATGTATATATCTATATCTCTCTCTGTGTGTATCTATATTTGGTGTATGTATCTATATATCTGGTGTGTGTGTATGTATATATCTATATCTCTCTCTGTGTGTATCTATATTTGGTGTATGTATCTATATATCTGGTGTGTGTGTATGTATATATCTATATCTCTCTCTGTGTGTGTATCTATTTTTGGGTGTGTGTGTGTATCTATATTTGGTGTGTGTATGTATCTATCTATATCTCGTTGTGTGTGTATCTATATTGGGGGGGTGTGTAGCTATATATCTGGTGTGTGTGCATGTATATATCTATATATCTCTGTGCGTGTATCCATATTTGGGGGGGGTGTCTATCTATATTTGGTGTGTGTGTATGTATCTATATATCCGGGGTGTGTGTATGTACCTGTATCCGTATACCTGGGGTGTGTGTGTATGCGTGCGTGTGCACGCGGGGTTATCACAATCCGAGCGCTACGTCAGACGGAGCCAAGCGGGGAAACACCGCGTTCCCATCACCATATGCAAAAGAAAACCTACCACAAAAAAAAAAACCCCACAACAAAACGCCAAAAGTGCATTCTCCTACGAGGGGCTGCCGGGCTGCTCCGACAACAAGCGGGCGTTGCTGTTTGCTGGAGTGCTGCTGTATTTTGGGCAGCAGGAGTCAGGCCACTAGCTTGGGAAAACGTGCCGGATCCCCACTTCCCGAAATAAATAGTCACCGCAAAGTAAAGCCGGCGGGCTCGGCCCCCCGTGTCCATCCCCGGGTGCGCCGGGGTGCGCGGGTCCGACCCGCCGCTGCAGCGTGCCCCCGGCCGCTGATTTCTACTTCTGCATCGGACGCAACAAACCCGGCTCCAAGCGCGGTGTGTCCGCGTGTTTACAAACGTGTCCATCACGGGTGGGCAAGTCACTAAACCGCAGCAAAAAACTTTGCGGGGGCATTTTGAAGGACAGGCTTCTATTCCGGAAGTTTTCCATCACACGCTAACACCGAGGCGAGGCTATTTGCAAATTAGTATTTGCCAGAAGATGCAGGAGCTCTGCAACCGTGCACAGATCCTCTGATTTTTTAAAAAATATATAGTTCACTTGCATGTCTGGCCCACAGAGGATCTCACGATGTATTAACGATATAATACTGATGACAATAACAGTACTAACGCTACCAACAATAATGATGATGAAGACGTTGATAAAACCCTTTATAAATGCAGCTACTGCCTGAGCGCCGATCTGCTTAGCATTCAGGAGGGGTGCGGAAAAAAAAGAGCATTTGTAGCTTTGCAACTCATCTCACTCCTGATTGTTGTTGTTTTTTTTCTGGCAACGACATGTTATTTTTGTCGTTAAGGCAAAAAACGTTATTTTTGTCTTTCTCACTGTCAGCACCAGAGCTCCGAAAAGCCCACGCCTCTCTCTCATCCCTCCTTTTGCAATTAAAGCAAAAGAAACCCAGGGGAAAGCAAACGGAGAATGGTGTTCGTTTTATTTTTATAGGAGAGCAAAAAATACCACTTGATGGCAAAGTCTCGGCTCTGCCCCGCGCCCCAGCCCGGCGCCGCAGGAGCTCTGCCCATCTATAATCCCGTGTTACTTGAACAAGTTGTTTATGGAGCTGCTTTTCTATTTGCTTACAGCAAATACAAAATAAATAAAGCAGCAGCCCGGGGCTGGGGGTGGGAGCAGGCTGGGGAAGGGATGCGCAGGGCAAGAAGGCTGCTGGCTCCCTTTGATTTATCCAACCCCATGGATTATTTATCCGCAAAGTTGCCGGGCCTCCCATTGGCGGACGTCAGGGGTGTCAGAGAGATCCCCGGCTCCCCATTGGTCCCTTCCACGTGCGGGCCAGCCTCACGTGCTTCCGGTTGGAATGAAAAAAAGTGTGGCTGAGCGATTTTTTAGGGAGAGTTTGTTGCAAAGATCGGAGCTGTCAGAGATTTGCTTTAAAAAAAAAACAGAAAAAAAAATTAAAAAAAAAAATCATCATCATCCCAGGCTCGGTGCAGGCTGGCGAGTGAGGGGCTCTGCCCAGCCGGGCGGTGGGCACGGCGCAGCATGGCACTGGGGGCGAGGCAGACCCGCCGCGTTTGTAGGGAGATGGGTAGATTTTGAAGGAGGCTTTTTTGGGGGGGAGGGG